ACGGCAAAAGAATGGTGTTGGGTCTGTCCTTATGCTGCACACAAACATTAACCCAAAGCTGTTTTTGGGTAACAGAGGCAGAAAGCTGTTTCAGTCTCCATTTCATGTCTTATGTAATATGGATTTTTTGTTTGGTTTTGTTTTTTGGTTTTTTGAGACAGGGTTTCTCAATGTATCCCTGGCTGTCCTGAAACACTCTCTGTAGACCAGGCTGTCCTCAGACTCAGAGATCTACCTATTCTGCCTCCTGAGTGCTGGGATTAAAGGTGTGTGTCGACACCACCATCCGGCTACGTGGAAGTTTTGTAGTATGAGAGTAATTTTTTGAAAGGCCATGCTTTCCACAGACACTTAGCAGGTATAGAGGTTTTGACAAAGCAAACCATGCTCCTACTTGAGCATTCTTCTTGTTCATTATTGGAACATGTGTGCACATCACAAGAACAGGCACTACCGATGCATCTCACTCACTCCTAACCGTTAGTCTGTTTTTCTTCCTCTGACAATGCATTGCCAAAAATAGAAGGAAAAAGACCAGCTACATGAAAACAATACCATACGTAATCCACAGGACTACCCTGTGCTTCTGGGCTCCTACCACAACACTACATAGGGGTTTGAAAAAATGCTGTGCCAGGGTCTCAGCTAAGAGCCTTTGCAGCCTGTTTGTAGCTAGGCTACAAACCAAGTGTAAGAACCAAGTGTAAGAATAATAATGAACAAAATGAGATACTTTATACAAAATGCAAAATTATACATTATCTTGGTAAGCACAATGAAAGCAAAAAGCTTACTAAGTAGGACCAAGTGAGTACTTGGCCTTTCTTTCTTCAGTTATTTCAGTAGGATGTTCAAATCCCAAGCATCCAGTGCCAGGCCTGGTCATTTTCTTATGTCCACGGTTTCAGCAAGGGTTATTTCCTGTTCAGACAATCCCATATGAGGTCCAAGGGAAACAGCGGTCCACCTGGTTACATTCTTTTTTATTTATATATAATTTATTTATTCTTTTAAATTTCATTTTACATCCCAACCACAGTTCTCCCTCCCACCTCTCCTCCCCAGCCCACCCCCAGTCCATGTTCCTCATGAGTAAGGGCTCCCATGAGGAGTCAACAAAGTCTGATACAATAGGTTAGGGCAGCGCCAAGCCCCTCTCCCATGCATTAAGACTGAGCATAGTATCCCACCATAGGGAATGGTCTCCAACAAGCTAGTTCATATACCAGGTTTGTGTCATGGTCCTACTGCCCGAGGCCCCTCTGATAGTCCAAGCTTCACAAATTTCTTCTACATATGGAGGGCCTAGTTTTCTCCTGGAGTCTCTACCGCTGTCAGTCTAGAGTTCATGAGTTTCCACAAGGTTGGTTCATCTGCCTCTGTAGATTTCTCCATCATGATCTTGACCTCCCTTGATCATATGTTCCCTCCTCCCTCTCTTTGAGTAGATTCCCAGAGCTAAGCCTGGTTCTTGGTTGTGGATCTCTGTCTGGTTCCATGAATTGCTGGATGAGGGCTCTATGATGATAGTTGAAGTATTCAGGGGAAGGCCCATTACATTCTTGGGTCCACACATGAGCACATCCATGTTTGGCTGTGCTGGTGACTTTCCAGTTCCATTCTCCTGTCTTTGATAGGCTCACTTCCTACAAAGCAATTGCTGTTCAGCTGTTAGTTCAGAATGTTTGCTGATACTGGGTCAGATCTGTATCTCAATAAGCATTAATTCTAGTTTCTTCTCAATAAGAAACAAAACAAAACAAAAACATTCCTTGAACTTGAAATGTTTTCAAATATGTGAAGACAGAACTCCTATTCCTACTACCTGTAATTATTTCCAGACCTCTCACTATAATTCTTCTGAGGTCTGTCTCTTCACAGCTAATAAAACCCTGCTGACTGTAGCAGCCATCTCTGTTGCTTGTTCAGTCTCATGTCAGCTCTGGCATCTGCCTCTGGTTTCCGCTGAGATTGTTTTGGCTGAGGTCTCTGATGGTGACCCACTTACAGTAGTCTCTACAGCTCTCTTATTTGCTGAGCAGTACAGAACACAGATCCTTGAGTTTTAATTGTTTAGTATCTTTTTAGAGGATCTGCTCTCGTTTTGAAGCAATCTAAAATTTGTGGGGAAAGTTAGAAGTACAACACAGAGATGTTTTTCTTGAACTATTTGGGTGTGAGTTGCAGACATGATTCTCCATCAACTCTCACAAAGATCTCCTCCACACTCCTCACATCAGCAAATTAGACTGAACTTTCATGACCTTTCTTCTGCTCTCACAGTAGGACACACTCCAGACTTTCCTTGACTTTGATGACCTCAGTATTTCTGAAGAAGACAAGCAAGTTGTTACGTTACCGAATTCTCTCAATTTGGGTCCTCTTTCATCAGGATTACAGCCAAGAAACTGTAGTATTTATTGCTATAAAAATTGAACTCACAAACCAATGTCTGCTTATTGTATGTGTTGACTACAAGGACTTCTTGATTGTCAGAGCTGAAGAATGCATGTTCCTATATGGATAACTGTACCTACTATGTCTCGACACTTGTACTTACATTTGTATGTGTATGTGCACATATACATATGTATACACACACACACACACTATTCACATACATAAAATCCTAGTTCTACCCATTCCAACCCTGTCTCACAGGGCCCCTGAACCCTGAGGGAAGTTGCTAGACATGTTTCCAGCCCTTTGAAAGAGGATGGGCTGTGGATTGGGCACTTGGCCAAGGTGTAGTTTTTGAGGATCCCTTCAAATAAGCAGGAAGCAAAGGTTCAGGTGCCTGTCTCTTATGAAGAAGTGGGTGCAGGATGTATCCTTGGAGCCATGTTGGCAGGTGGGAGGGTGGGGCTGCATATGCCTGCCCAATCCCTGTTTGCAGCAGGCTACACTTCCTTAGGCCCTGACATAGGCTTACTGTGCTAGCATGTCCAGTCAGCACAGTTGTGTACTGTTTCTGTGTTTGAAGTTAGCCTAGTTCTTAGGATTTTACAGCAGAAATTATTTTTGAGGTGATACTTGAACCATCCCTTCTTTAGTTTAGTCTGAATAAGCACCCCCCTTCTGATTACTTTGGGTTTTTAGTACAGTCAGGAACAGAGCCACTTTTGGGCTCCCTCTGTAGACGTCCTTCAGTGCATCCTTCCGTTTTCTGGAATCACTCACTGACTGGCACCTCCTCCCTGTTGCCTTAAATATCTGCGCCTGCTGCAGAGCTTGTGGGTTCCTCACACCACTGTGCCTGGGTGCTATGTGAAGCGCTGAAAGACCTGCCTGCCACTCAGCTGGACTCCCAGCACTACGTTGGTGCCACAGCAGTCCACCCCTTGACGAGCCCCCTTCCACGGCTATTGTTTATCCTACTTGTCTCCTTCAGACTCTGCACGTGCTGCCAACTCAGAAGCCTTCTCAGACTGTCACTAGAGTAGCAAACACACAGCGCTAGGGCCACCTGCCTTCAGGACCCTCCTTGCTCTCTGGCCATATCTTCTATGCTTTCCTCTCATGTAAATCCTTGTGGAACTGCCCTGTTTCATTTTAAGAACCTAGTGGGCCTTTTCTAGAATATTTCTCAGGTCATTCTTTCAGGCAGAGTAACTGCCTGCTGAATTGCTTTGGGGGTGGGGGTGGGGGGAAAACTTCCATTTCTGTATGACACTACAGATAAAGTAGCAATTGGAGTGTCAAATTAGACTTCTCTGTCTTCGCCTTATTTCACAGAAGTACATGATGCCAGGGCTATGAGGGTGGCAGTTTAACAGCATAGATCAGAGTCTGGTATATAGCAGTAGTTAGGCTTCCATCCGCATGTCACTGAAGTGCCGTCTGTGCAGAGAGCACAGGAGGAAAGGCGCGGGCACGGCCTGACATTAGCGAGGGAGGAGGCGGACAATAAGTGCTTTGCAGTTGTTGAGTTTCTGTTTTCTTTATATCCTTTATTCTCAAGCTGCCACCTCCCCCTCATCCAGTTCCTTTAAAAAATGTGATACTTTAGAGAATTTTATTCAAATGTCTCCGCTGAGACTTAGAAGCTGTTTTTCTCCCATAGCAACGGAAGGTGGAGAATTACAGTTCTGAACTTTGGAAAGGCATAGCTGCTCTTAGTTACTCTTGCTCTTAGCTAAGTTGTTTCCAGTGGGTATAACCAAGAATCAGGTTTTCATTTCTGAAAGTAAAATATGAAACTGTCTTAGCTCTCAATGTCTTTATTTTTTCCGTTCAAGTGTTTCTTTAGTAGTTCTATCAAGCGAATATAGGGAAAATTGGTTCTGAACAATTGAATGACCCTTTAATAATGCTGTAGGATCTAGCATACACTGCTGAATTACAATACATTTATTTGTTCCTATCCTGTTCCAAAGAAAAGTAAGATTTTCTTTTAAAATACCTAGAGGCCAGCTGTGTAAAGCATAAGAAAATTTCATTTTTTTAATGTGTATACAAGGCAGTTTTTTTATCATAAAAAAGCATGTTAAAACTCATTACAGTATTTTGGAAGTGATTCTTTGGGGCGTCAGATCTTTAAGTTATTTGAGAAAGAAAATAATCTAGATGTAAAAACAAACTACTTTAAATGCATATTATTCTTCCCTGTATTTGAACAATTTGTCCAAAACACAATCCATTCATGTAGGATTTTTGCCTGTTCACATCTAAGTGGGAATCAGTACTTTCTTTGTTGGTCACTATGGAAACGAGTTAGCCTATCCTGAAAAGCTCTTAGATCATACAGAACGATGCTGTGTCTCAGTATAGCTCCTCACTGAGCTAGCCAGAGCTGGCTTCTGCCTGCCTCCAACTCTTGCCTGCCTGGAGCCAGTGCCATGCAGATGCAGGACCCATCCCGGAGGCCTTCGGCCGTGCACTTCCTCAGTGCCTTTCTGCAGGGCCGCCGGCACTCCACTTCTGATCCGGTCTTGAGGCTGCAGCAAGCCCGGCGTGGCTCTGGCTCTGCCACCAAGCTGCTGTCCTCATCGTCTCTCCAGGTGATGGTGGCTGTGTCTTCTGTCAACCGTACAGAGGGGAATCCAACTTTTCCCGAGAGAAAAAGTAAAATTCTTTTTTTATAATCCTGCTACTCTTTGTTTGTGTCTAAGTGTAAGGAGTGTGAAAAGGCTGTAGTTTTGTTTGTACTTTCAGAATGTTGACAGTTAATTCTGTTTATGATTTTTACTGTGCTCATGCTAAGACTGAATGGATATGTAAGAGGAGATAAAATAATGGAATGATTTGTGATGTTTTTGTTGTTGTTAAAAGTATAGTTTTGGACAAAATTCAGCCTCTTGAAAAAGATGAGCTTCCTTATTTTCTTCTCATTACCACTGTAATAAGTAGAAATTATTGCATGTGAAAGCCTTATTAATATTAGATGAAGGGATTTACACTGGCTCACATCTACAATCCTGAGGTAAAATGAAACTGTTTTCCTGTGTTATCATTCTATCAGGAGGATAGAATCTTGAACCTTAATTTCCTTGTATATTCTAGAAAATTCAGAACGCCCAACACCAAAGTACACAAAGGTGGGAGAACGTTTACGGCATGTCATTCCTGGACACATGGCATGTTCCATGGCGTGTGGTGGGAGAGCATGTAAGTATGAGAACCCAGCCCGCTGGAGTGAGCAGGAGCAAGCCATTAAGGGAGTTTACTCATCCTGGTAAGTACGGCTATGGGTCTTGCACAGCCCTGTAGGAGGAAGGAAGCAGGGATGTTTGTGAGCCAACAGGCAGGCGATGTGAAGGAAACATGGCCTTGAATTCAGGGGCCCTTGCAACCATCCCTGGGTTTGCAAAATGGAAATAATTAAGTTCAAAGCCTTTACATGAAGTGAAATGATATGCATGAAGTACCTTAAGTTAATGGGCAATTAGATAGTTCTTAAATTTCAGAACGTGATGAAAATAGTGGAGATGTTCAGTTGTATGTTTGAGAGAATTCCATGGTCCATGTGTAGATTGGGCATTCACATAGTGTGTCTGCTAGGAAATATACTTCCGTCTTCCCTGACTGGTCAGCAGGCAGCCCATAAGATGCTGGTGTTGGTTCTTGTGTTTAGGCACAATTAATTCTACTCTTAAGTCATACTGCCCTTATTAGTGACAGCGAGCTAGTCAGGTCTGTATTTATGGTCTTGAAAATACTGATAATCAAGTCGTAATTGAGCTGGGCATAATGGTGCCTGCCTTTAATCCCAGCACACAGGGAGCAGAGGCCTGTAGATCTCTGTGAGTTCAAGGTTAGCCTGGTTTACATAGTGAGTTCCAGGACAGCCAGGGCTACACAGTAAGACCTTGTCTCAAAAAAAGTCAAAAAACAAAATCATATTTGGAACATATAATTAACTGTTTAAAAGAGTTCTACTCATGAATTATTTTATACAGCAAGAACCCATTTAAGATCAGATGTTTGCTGACTACTTATTTGATTTGCTGTCTCTACTCTCTGTGGTGACCCAGCCTGAGGTCCACTGTCGTTAGTGTTCTGTATGAGTCACAGTGAAGCCTAATGACACTTATGATATGAGGGAGCAAACACTCCTGAGTCAGAGTCCCACAAGCAAATGTCCAATGTAGCATAGCTCACATGACCACTCTCCTTGATTGTTAACTATCCACATGAGCCTTTCCCTCATGTCAGGGTCCATCTCAAGTCTTTGGAAGTCCTTGTTAGGTTCTACATGTTGCTCCTGAGGGGAATACTGTCTAGTGGATACTGGCCTACCAGTTTCACGTCTTTGCTACTCCTCTGAGATTCATATGAGTCAAAATTTGCAATAGACTTTTGTACATATCTTTTACCAACTTCCTGATGACAAATTTGAACAAAGCAGAGCAAAGCTGGAGGTCTAATAAGAGTGACAGACAGGCTTTTTATGGCCAACTGTTCATTGACTCATTCTATTTTGTTCATAGATTCATTCATAAACATTTAATTGTAGGACAAGGTACTTTGCTACTAGGTGCTTTCAAAGTATCACTAATTTTCATAAAACCTTGTGAGCTGTTAATGCCATTTTATTAGTAGTCCAGAGGGATGAGTTAATTTGCTTCACAGATAGAAGAAAAGCAAAACACCATTTGAAGTCAGGCCACCTGACTCTGAACCCCCACCCTCTTTCTTTGCTAAATTACAGCGCCTCAGTATTTATTTATAGCCACAGGTCAGGATTTGGGCTATATTTGTACATCCACATCATACTGAATTCTCACCCCAACCCTATGTATGTCTGGCATTATTACCTCATTTCACACATCAGGTAACAGGTGTCCAATATCAGCCTCCCATTTGTCCTCCGTTTAGTTGAATGACCACTTTGTCACAGGGTAAAGTTCCCCTTTATATCCACTAGAATCTCTTTAGAGTCCTTGGAGACATTTTGTCAGAATCCATAAATGACTTAGGTCTTGACCTTTTTTCCCTGTGGGATTTAAGGAGCTACAAGGTTCTAATTGTGATGCAGAATTAAAGCCAGATTTATGTAAGAATATAGAAGCTGCTGAAATGATAGGAAAAAAAGTTGCTAATCCTACTAGGTAGAATGCTCTGAGTTTTGTGCATCTCAGCAGTTCCATACCTGTCTTCAGGGTCACTGACAGTATCCTGGCCATGGCTCGTCCGTCCTCTGAGCTGCTGGAGAAGTATCACATCATTGAGCAGTTCCTCAGGTGAGTACCACAGCACCCATGGCTGTAGTGAACACAGTCAGCATGCTTGTCTTTAATTGATTATGGCATCAAAGGAAAAAAGAGCTCACTTTTAAAAAACAGGCAGTGAAGAGCTGATTATAAAGAAAAGTTTGAGAGCAATCAATAATGCCTTACTAATGCTAAAATCCAGTTTCTCAGGACTTGGGGTCCTTATAACTGATGGCTCTTTTCCTTTGAAGTCATGGCATAAAAACAATCATCAACCTGCAGCGCCCTGGTGAGCACGCCAGCTGTGGGAACTCTCTGGAACAAGAAAGTGGTTTCACGTACCTTCCCGAAGCATTCATGGAGGCTGGCAGTAAGTTCCTTCCCACCCTGAATTATCAAGTTCAGTACATAGAGACTTTTGTCCTCCAGGCTCTCAGGTTAAAGAGAATACTTATCAATAGAATCTGTACGGTAGTGGGGCTTCTGATTTCACCTTAAATGATGCTACCTTTCTTGGATGATGCTGTTGTGAGTACAGGGTTTCCTTTTCCTCTAGGAGGGGCTGGGAGGAGACCCTGCAGTAATAAGGCTTCTGTTCAGTTAGAGTCTGTACCGTGTCAGACATGACGACCTCAATTTCTCTTTACAGCAGTTGTGCCACTCAGTTTAGGCTTAGAGAGTTATCAGCTTGTCTGAGATCACATAGATTAGAAATTCAATGGGGATTGGAAGTTGAATAATTTTGGCCCTACAAGAATATATCCTCGTGGCCAGCCCAGAGCTCATCACAGACGCTTTGGAGTGGAGTCCACTCAGTGGGGTTATTCAAACCAGGCTGAGCAGGGAACGTGTTCTTAAGAGGCTTGTATCTAGCTTTTTTTGGTCACCCTAAGTAGAAAACTCTGTATCTATAGCTATATAAAACTCTATATCTAGCCATTTATTAGCCTTTTAGAGAATTTCTATTCTTAAACAAGAATACATGTTGTTCCCTCCACCTTTGTTTTTAATTCTACTCTGCTAAAATTCTTTCCACCTGCACTACAGCAAGAAATGTATTAAGGAAAAAGAATGTGCTTGTAAGAAATTTTAAGTTAAGCTTTCTGGAAATATAAAAATCCTGTTAGATGGGTATGGTGACTCATACCTTTAATCTCAGCACAGGAAACAGGGGCAGGCAGATCTCTGTGAATTCAAGATCATCCTGGTTTGCTTATCAAGCTCCAGGCAAGCCAGGGCTACACTGTGAAACCCTGTCTCAAGACATAAAAAGTAAAAAAATAAAAAGCCTATTATTGTAAGTCTGCTTATTTAATTAAATCTCTGTGCCTTGTGACTCATTTTCTTCAGTTGTCCTTGTATTTTTATGCATATTAATTTTGTTTTTCTTTTTCTCTTTCACTGTCTAGTTTATTTCTACAACTTTGGGTGGAAGGATTATGGTGTAGCGTCCCTCACTGCCATCTTAGACATGGTAAAGGTGATGACATTTGCCCTACAAGAAGGAAAAGTAGCTGTCCACTGCCACGCAGGGCTTGGGCGAACAGGTGAATTCTAGGAATCATGTTGTGCTGTGTGGGCATAATGAAATATATAGGGGTGAGATTTCCTAATTCTAAAGAGAGATAGTTCTTAGAGTCATAACAAAGTTTTAGAATTAAATTAAATAAAAGATATTTGAAGCATCTTAAGCCTTTATAGTAACCATGTATTGATAAGAGTATTTCTGAATAATTTAGAGCTGAAAACTCACTGTGTTTAAGCATGTTTCTAAAACTACTTAAATAATCAGCTTATTTAAATGGAGCACCTCATGTTAATAAATAGTATTTTTTAAGATTCTTTCTTTCTTTCTTTCTTTCTTTCTTTCTTTCTTTCTTTCTTTTCACCAAGATAGCATTTCTTTGTATAACCTTGGTTGTCGTGGTACTCGCTGTGTAGACCAGGCTGGCCTTGAACTCACAGTGATCCACCTGCCTCTGCTTCTTGAGTGCTGGGACTAAAGACATGCACCACCACCACTACCAGACAAAACATTGTTTTTCTTAAAGACTTGCTTTTATTTTATGTCTGTGAATGTTTACCTGCATGTCTGTGTGCCTCAGAAGAGGTGGTCAGATTCCCCTGAGACTGGAGCCACAGACTATTGTGAGCACTGTGTTGCTGCTGGGAATCAAACTGGGATCCTCTTCAGAGTGCAGGTGCTCTTAACCACCCAGCCATCTCTCCAGCCCCCAAAATATCTTTAACTGAAAGAACTACTGAAATAGCAAGCAACGTTCATCTGCTGGAGTATTTTTCATTTACTGTCCTTTGAAGTTGTTAGCAACAATAGGAGTCAAACTGCAGTCTAAGAAAATGTAGTAGTCTGCTACATTCAGGGAGTGGCAGGGTCTCTATTACATCCATCAGTGTCTGGCTCCATCTTTCATGCCATGTCTATCTTGGGATTTATAAGGATTCTGTACTTGAAGAAGACTGTTTGCATATAAAGTTCTGTGTGAAAGTCAGTGGTTTTATATAAACACGCAGCAAACTTCATTACATTGCTGGTCTGATAGCAAAAATGAAAGGCCTGGGATGGATAGCTTCACTGTCATGTGATTTGTTAGACAAAACCACCCCAGTGTATATCCCCTGCCGTGGGATTTCCTACCTGCCTAGGAGCATCCTAGACTAGTATTCAACTCATGTAGGTTTGGGCAACTCTTAGGATAAAGCCAAAATGTCTTTATTCCTGGACATTACATGTTATACCTCTGCAGATATTTATCCTTATACTAAAGATGTGTGATGTCCCCATGAGAAAGCTGCATTGTGTTCACTGCAAACTGGAGGACATGCAGTTCTCAGAGGTTCTGATTTTCATGTATAACTAGATGTTCACAAACTTAGGAATTATGTGTCTGTCTTTTACATTAAGAGTTGTTGGCTGTTGTATTATAGTTAATTGATTCTGGAGTCTTAACAATGAGTAACTAATGAAAACCAAGCCATTATACTGTTGCAGCTGACATCCTTATAGCGTTTGCTTATGTGACAGAGTCACACCGTGGTCTGGAGAAAACACAGACTAGTGTAGACACCATTTGGAAGAATTGTCAGGCAGAGAAGTAGAATGTATGGATGTAATAATCCCCAAAGCAAAACCTTCCCAACCTGGGAGAGGGCTCAGCAAGAATGTCCTGGCAGTGGGTGGCAGAGATGCCAGAGCAGGGCGTTCCCAGGGCAGAGTGGGTGGCGGATCGGATGGAAGCATCAAGAGCTGTTTACCCCAGAGCAGTGCAGGGTCAGGGTTTGGCTTCCTTCATGCCAGAGTGAGGCATGGGGAGGCTCGACCAGACCCTCAGCTTAGTTTTTAAGTCCTCCTCACCTCAGCAGCCCTTTACCTGCCAATTGTGCTGGCTCATCTCTGGGGCAAAGCTGACTCAGTCACAGGAAGGAACTTCCACAAAGATGTGTAAAAGTCTTTGCAGTAATGAATGCTTGAGGGGCTGGGGATGCCGCTTAGGTGGTAGAGCGCTTGCCTAGCATACAGGAAGTCCTGAGTTTGATAGCCAGAACTACATAAAAGCAGCCTGGTGGTATATACTTGTATATACTTGGACGGTAGAGGCCGGAGGATCAAGAGTTCAAGGTCATCCTTGCCTGTATACAGAGTTCCAGGCCAGCCTAGGTTATATGATAACCTGTATTTTTTTTTTTTTAAAAGCAACAAAGAGCTGGCAGGTGTCATTACTATCCTTTAAATGTGCTTGTATTTATGATTTATTAACAGCATTCAGGCTTTAAAGTCACCAAACACTGGCACATAAACGAGTCTTTTCTCATGTGAGTCTTCTTTACTGTCTAGGTGTCCTAATAGCATGTTATTTAGTTTTTGCAACAAGAATGACTGCTGACCAAGCAATTATATTTGTGCGGGCAAAACGCCCCAATTCCATACAGACCAGAGGGCAACTGCTCTGTGTACGGGAATTCACTCAGTTTCTGGCTCCACTCCGTAATATTTTCTCTTGCTGCGATCCCAAAGCACATGCTGTTACCTTAGCCCAGTACCTGATTCGCCAGCGTCATCTGCTTCATGGTTATGAGGCACGACTTCTGAAATACGTGCCAAAGATCATCCACCTAGTTTGCAAGCTGCTGCTTGACTTGGCTGAGAACAGGCCAGTAGTAGTGAAGAGCCAGCTAGAAGGACCTGGCCTCTCTGCTGAAATCGAGAAGACTGTGTCTGAGATGGTCACAATGCAACTGGATCAAGAGTTACTGAGGCAGAACAGTGATGCACCTGACCCGTTTGACCCCACTGCAGTGGTGGCCGAGTTTGAGAATCAGGATGTGAGTCTTTCTAATGAGCAAGACTTTGACCCCCTCTGGAAGAGGAGGGATGCAGAGAGTCTTCAGCCCCTGACGCATCTGAAAAGACAGCTCAGCTACAGTGACTCAGACTTAAAGAGGGCCAAAGCTATCCTGGAGCAAGGGGAGACACCCTGGACAGTGCCTGCCCAGGATTTGCTGGGCCACAGCCTCCAGCACCAGGCGCAAATCAGCAACTGTTTCATACCACCGACTTCAGAGCTAGGTTTAAATAAGGAAGCACTGGTTCACAGTACATTTTCCTTCTGGACTCAGTCAAAGTGCCGAGGCTTAGAAGGACTCAAGGACAATGGGTCACCACTCTTCTGTAGGAAGGACATTCCAAAGGAAGTACAGCGGAGCAGGACCTTCTCTGTGGGTATTTCTTGTCCACACAATCCTGGAGAACCAGTGACACCCAACTTTGCAGGTGTTCATATGGAACCAGAGCAAGTCACCCACAGTCATTGTGAAGCTCCTAGTGGTTGGGTTCCAGGCTCTGTTCAGGAGGATGGGAGGACTCCCTGCAGCCCTCTAAACTGTGGCTCCAGTCCTAAGTCACAGTGCCCACATGTTCAGGAAAGCCAAGGCAGCTCATCCCTGTTGGAAGCAATGCCAGATGATGGTTTTCAGTCTGAACTGAGTGCTGAAGCCAGGAGGATATTGGCAGCCAAAGCCCTTGCAAATTTAAAGGAGTTTGTGGAAAAGGAGGAAGTGAAAAGGAAAGTGGAAATGTGGCAGGTATTTGTATTTCAATTAATTAATTATATATGTACTTAAATATTTATAGAGTATATATACATACATATACACATATATGTAAATGTATATATTCTACACATATACACACACAGAAATGTTTTTGTCAGAACAAAAACACGTAACAAATTTTCCCAAACTTCTCAATTACAGAAATGAGAAGATGGAACTTGAGGTTTCCCAGTATGATGTGAACCTGATGTAGAAATGACCCAGGGCGTTTGTTTAGTTCCAGTTAAATTTCTGTGTTCAAGAATCCACCTGGCATGATGCTTGTTCCATACACGATGTTAATGTTGGTAGCTTTCTTCTAGGGGCAGCCAGGTCTACAGATGGTGATGTTAGGAACTGGCCTGCAGGGTTTTCTGATCGAGGACCATAGTTTGGAAACCACTGGTCCTAGTGACAAAAATAAAGCAATTTACTTCCCAAAGCTTATTGGTACAGGTGGTGAGTCAGGCCTGCCTTCTTGGCCTGCTCTCTCACAGACTTGCTGGCCTCGTTCCAACAGGGTCCCTTGAGGCTTAGAGATAGCAAATGGAAATGACCCCTGTGGTGTGTTATATCTGAGAGGAGGACTCAGAAACCCATTTATTTCTTGGCTCTTAGAGTGTACAGTTTTAAATTTAAACTCCCTTTTTGTGTGCTTTACTCTTAGTAGGAAGACAGTCTTTAGCTGTACTTTCCCCGGAGGAGCACCTTGTCTGGAGAAAAGGAACTTAGCAGAAACAGGGAGCCGGCCTCAGCATGGGACTGACTTGGGCCTTTTGACTCAGAGAAATCCTGAATTGGCAGCCATGCTCTTCTGTGAATTACTTGGAAGATTTTGTGTATTTGTGGGGGTAGGGTATCTACAGTGGCATGTAGGTGCCCTCAGATCAGAAGAGAGTGTGTGATACCGGGAACTGAGTCAGGTTACAGGCATTTATAAGACAGCCATGCAAGTGCTGGAAACTGAACTCCGGGCTTCTGGAAGCACATGCTCTTAACCGAGAGCCATCTCTTCAGGTTGTGCTATTAAAGTAATTGCTACTCTTCTATATCCCACTATTTATAAAACCAAGAACCTAAAAGCTAGGTTATCTTCAGAGGCAGGAAATTATGTTTTGGAGCTCTTACCAGCTTACAGTGTACAACAAAAGAGAGAACTGTATAAAAGCTCATCTGAAGCCAGGCGTTGGTGGAGCACACCTTTAATCCCAGCACTCGAGAGGCAGAGGCAGGCGGATCTCTGTGAGTTTGAGGCCAGCCTGGTCTGCAGATCGAGTGTCAGGACAGGCTCCAAAACAATACAGTGAAACCCTGTCTCAAAAACAAAAACAAACAAACAAACAAAAACAAAAGAAGCTCATCTGAATTAGAGTATTTACCTAATAAAAACTCAAACATTGTTTTCCTTCCAATAAATTTTCTTTATTCCCCACTATAAACTGAAAACAAAAATCTCTCATTCAGCAGGCAAATATTTCTTGTGCATTATTGTATGTTGAGAGCTAACAAGTAAGAGGATATTTGTGTTACAGATGTCATGGTGCCACTCCTGGGTCAGCCCTGCATGTCACTCAGCCAAGTGCCCACATGAGCTGAGAAGATGTCAGATGAATCTTTGCAAGTTCAAGGCCAGCCTGGTTTACATAGAAAGTCCCAGGACAGCCAGGGCTACATATTCTGCCACCACCAACAAAAATGCACACATTTGGTTGAGACAAACTTAGTGTTTATCTGTAAGGTGCCTCCCCGTGGGGTGCTGTGAATGTTGGAATTAAGTTCTGTGTTACTGTTTCTACCACTCTGCGGTACAGACTACACGTATTTACTGGGCAACTAAATGGATATTAACAATTACTGTGGTTTTTTTTTTTTTACCATTGAAAAGTTTTATTTGATTTACCAAAGCATAAATCTGATCCGTGTCAGAAATTTCTTATTTCTTATAACTCATCTTTGTAAGATGAAATCTTAAAATCTCATTATGAGGCTGGCAGTCTTGAGTCATGAGATTTGAATCCTCCAAGCCCGAGTTCTGGTCCCTGGACCCACATAATAGAGGAGAAAACCAACTCCACAAAGTTACCTTCTGATGGCCACACACACTTGCTGGTGGCCTGCACATGCATACACTCGCACAGGCGCATACATGAGTACACACAACGTAATTAAGGCACATACATGAGTACACACAACGTAATTAAAGCTGGTGCATAACCTGTCTCCAGGCGTTTGGGATGCTGACAAGGCTTTTCACCCTCCCAGATTGAAGGGCGCCAGACTTGTAGGCTTCCCTGTAGGGTTCTAAAAGGCACTTTGAGGAAAACACACACATTTATCAACTTTCATGCAGTTTTCTGTGTGTGCACATGTGTGGTTAAAAGGTTTAGCTGAGACCCCAGGCTAGCTTATAAATGGCCCCCTATTTTTAACCTACCATTTCCTTATTTGCAGTCCAAAGTTCTGTTTTGTTTGCCAGATGCCTGAGAAAGAAGACTGCCTCTTACATGCCTGTGGCCTCTGAATCAGAGTCAGGGCTTTGTGCTTCAGTGGCCCTTCTCTCAGTGTTAGCCTGCACTGTTTGTCAGGGATGAGACTAGGCTCAGAGAAGCTCCTGTGCTAGCCAGGCCCCCCTGCCTATATGTGCAGGCCCTGAGGAAGGTCCTGATGGCCCCTGAGGGCCCAGCCTTAACGCTAAGCCTCCTGTGGATCTGCCTTTTAGGCTCCGTATACCTCTCTCTCCCGTAAACATCTCTCCCCCCCTCTTCTCTGCAGAAAGAATTAAATTCCCGAGAGGGAGCCTGGGAAAGAATATGTGGTGAGAGAGACCCTTTCATCTTGTGCAGTTTGATGTGGTCGTGGGTGGAGCAGCTGAAAGAGCCTGTAATCACCAAAGAGGATGTGGACATGCTGGTTGATAGACAAGCCGATGCCGGTGAAGCCCTGTTTTTACTAGAGAAGGTAAAGTAGCTATTGGACAAGCTAATGAGTTTAATTAAGTCCCTCAGTATGTTTCACTCATGTGTAAAAAAAGAATGAAAATTTTATTTAGGTCTGTTTTAGTGGGTTTTCTTTTTTTCCCCCCCTAATATTGTGTATGTGGTCTCTATGAGTTTGTATATATGAGTGCAATGCCTGCAACAGCCACAAGAGGGCACCCAATTCCCCTGGAGCTGAAGTTATAAGTCCTTATGAACCACCTGGTATGGGTTCTGGGCCAGAACTCAGGTCCTCTGCAAGAGCAGCACATGTTTCTAAACACTGAGCCATCTCCCCAGCCCCCACTCCCCCCCACACACATACACACAATTTAGTAGATTTTCTAAGAGAAGAGAAATTGGGGTTGCAGATGTAGCTCGGTGACAGAGGACCAGCCTAGTGTGTGCAAGGCCCTGGGTTTGATCTGCTGCACCGTAGACACAGAAATTGATACACATTTAAAACCATACCAATCTTCAGATTTATTTGATCAGGCTTTGTGACAAAACAACCAGCTCTGACCCATCTCCCCAACAGTTTCCATCCTGTACTAATATGCCACAGTCAACACTTGGCTGAGTGCGTGATAAATAAGCCTATGAAATTGAGCACTTAAGTCATAGCCAGCAGCCTCCTCTATAATTATTTGAGTTGGTTTCTTGAGATACTTTCAATTAATTTTTTGTATTTCTGGAAAAACCCAAACAGGGGCAGTACCAGACCATCCTCTGTGTGTTGCACTGTATAGTGAGCCTGCAGACGCTTCCTGTGGAGGTGGAGGAAGCTTGCCTTTCACACGCCATTAAAGCTTTCACCAAGGTGAGTCCCTGTGTCCCACACCAGTTGCACCATCTCTGTAAGTCAGGGTTCTCAGGAAAAACTGTGAGCTCCTTCCCTTCAATGTACCAGAGTTTTATAAAAGTCGGAGTTTCTCAACAGTGGTGTCAGGAAAAAGTTGACTTGTCAGGTGGCATGGTAACAGAGCAGCAGTTGAGGATTCAGCAAGCATTTCAAGTCTTGTTCCTCTGAGGCAGGGGGATTTTCTTGTCCAGCCAGCTCCACCTTGTGTTTAAACAGGAATCTTCTAAGGAGGGTTAAACATCCAAAATTGTCAGGTCAGTACCCACAAAAACATTAAATGCATGCTTCCAGGAGAAATGTGGTTTATTTCTGACCTGTGAGCTTTGTGAATGCTACCACCAAGACCCTGACAAACAAGCGGACAGCATCCAGGACCAAGGGAGCAGCCTTTCCCTCCTCAGAATTTGTCTAAAAAGAAGCAAATTGTGGTGGCGAGACACTGCACCCAAGATCCTGGTTCTTTTTCAGTAGACTACACCTTATTCTGGGGACAGTACAGGGCTGCTCTAGTTCCCTGTCTTGTCACCGTCACTCCTCAGCAGAGAATTCCAGGCATGGCAAAGGCCCCAAGTGTGTATACAGTACCTTCCCAGCAGAGAGGAGACCCTCCTTCTCACTGAGTTTTTTTATGTGTACAAAACACTTACAGGAGCCAGATTTTATTTAAACTAGCAGAAATCTCAAGGCGGTGGGTATTGGGTTTTATATTTATATTAACAAGAGGAAATTGAAGCCCACAGACCACTACTGGTTCTCAGTAGTGGGTCACAACCTCTTTGGGGGGTCACATATCAGATATTTACATTATGATTCACAGCAGTGGCAAAATTACATTTAGGAATTAGCGAGGAAATAAAATGTTATTGTTGGGGACCCCACAACATGAGGAACTGTATTAAAGGGTCTCAGCGATAGGAAGGTTGAGAATAACCACCACAGACATTAGACAAAAGATGGAGATACATAGCTTCAGGTGGAAAGCCACTCAGTTCAGGTCTTCAGACTGCAGACCAGAGTGGCCCCGGGGCTTCTGAATGTCACGCATAACAGCTGGTGTGCTTCCTTTGGAAAAGAGAGTTCCCTTGCAGCATCAGTGACTCTGAACTTACACTCACTGCTGACTTCTTGCTGACCAGCTGCGGGGATTGTACTAACCTTGCAGCACTAGATTGAAGTTTTGAGTTTTCACTCTTAAGGTTTGATATTGACATGATTGATAGCTCTAACATAGTCTTCCAGTTAAAATGTATGAAGTCCATCATGTGTGTTTTAAAACTATAAATCTTTGTTGCTGTTTTTTCCAAATCCTTCTTTTCTTTGAGAACAGAAACTTGTTAAAACTTTTGCTACAGTGTCTTAAATAGAAATTTTTTTTTTGTCACCAGGTTAGTTTTGATTCTGAAGATGGACCAATAGTTTACAACACCCTGAAGAAAATATTTAAGCACACATTGGAAGAAAAGAGAAAAATGGCAAAAGACAGCCCTAGGCCTGGCCTCTCCTGAAGCTTTCCTCTCTGGACAAGTGTCCACCCCCAGGGTCCGCCCCACAAAGGGTGGCGCTTCTTTCTGTTCCCATGTGGGTGTGGCATGCTGGTGCCGCCCTTCCTTGTCACACTCCATTGTCAACGCTGCCTCTCTTGTGTTGAGAATAATGGTTCCTTTTTGGAGTAGTTATTTATTTTAAAATGTCGTTGGCTGTGTCTTGAGAATTTGCCATAAAGTTGGTGCCACTTTATTTATTTGCTGAATTAATACAGTTGTGTTGACATTTTATGTATGTTATATTTGTGCCGTTATTCTTTTTGACATTTTGGAGGGGAAATAAAGAACCCTTCTAAAACAGTTTTTTTCTTAACAGAACTCTCCCTGGAATTTCGATAAAATAGATCGTTTTAGTAGTAAAACCTTAATATGTATCCCCCCCACAAGACATATATGTATCTCCTCCTTCAGAAATATGACCTAAGAAAGTCACCAAGTGTCTTAAACTGTTTTATATTTGTTACTAAGGAGACTATTAATACATTGTAAAGGACTTTTAAAAACTTTGAAGCTTTGTGGTTTTCTTTTCTTTTTTACAGATGTGGCAAAGGCTTTCAAAGTGTGTTATTTTTCAGTGATCCAGTGATTGAACTCACGTTAATAGACTGACTGGAGTGGCTGGGATTTTGTACTTGTAGGAAGTAGCCCTGCTCTTGTCAGGCTTCCAGACAACCTCGCCCTTGGCTGTCCGAGGAGGGAGCAGCTCTCAACCCAGAAGCCTTATTCCACTTCCCCAACCTGCTGCTGAGCCAGTTGGCTTCTTTACAGAGAAATGGGAACAGACATGACCAGTGTGGGCAGTTGCTAAGGAGCAGAACTGGCCTTTGTCCTCGCAGGCACTGTGTAGAAGGGGCCGTGTGCTGGGGTGGAGGCTCCTAGCCAGCCTGCTCTCGTGGGGCACTGTGGCCATTCTGCACAGGCAACTCAGACCTGGAGCAAGTCAAGCAAGCCATTGTGTGCCCTAGGAGTACTGGCACTGCGGCCCCCCCCCCCCCCCCCCCCCCCCCCTTTAACAAGCCCGCTTGCCTCGGCCTCTGACACTAGCTGATGTTTTGCTATGAGGATTACAATTTTTAAATTGAATTTGACCCCAGGTTGCATTCACCTTAACTGGCTTCAAATGAGAACAGAAAACTGCTCAAACTTGATCCTTTAGGTTAAACTATTAGTCAGCAGCAATTGAAGCCTTAAATTAATATAGGAGCAGCAGAGCCCAATCCATAAAGAGACAAGGAGTTTCTTGGTAGAGGTGATAGCCAGGCCAACTCAAACTAAAGAAGTTGCTTCTCAGAATGTGAGGAAAGAAGCAAGACTGAATTAGAACAACTGAAATTTCCCTAACTCATGCATTTCTGAATTACACTCTAGTATATCAAAAACTATTTTAATCATTAGTCTTACCAACTCTGATGGCAAAGGCTAAGTGTAGCTTTCTTCACCCTGCATTTTCTTCTTGGGAAATGAAATACAATAGCTGTTAATGAACTGGCTTACCCATGTTGAAATGTCTTTTTAAGTGCCTAGTCTAGCAGCAGGAAATAGTTGCATTTTATCTCTTGTGGTACATTCTGAAATCTGATGTTCAAATAGAATGTTTGTCTTCATCTCCATGTGCCTCGAATGGGCAAGTGATGCATAGAACTTCACCATGTTCATCTGGAGCACTTGTTTTAAGTTCTAGAGCAGTCATGTGACCATGCCACTGCATGTCAGAAAAATCCAAGTACACCAGCCTGAGAAGACACAATCAGGCTCTGTTCCAGTGTTGTGTTTCTTTGAATAAAGATGAAGAGAACAACCACTGACCTGGTCCTGTGTTTCTTTGCTGTAATGCCCCAGGGCATCGTGCACACTCCAGGGATATTGGTAAGGGTTTGCTCTTAACTCATTCAGTGGCTAAGCTGGCTAGCCATGCTCACCTTCGATTGGAGTGACCGTGTCAGAGAGTGGATTCCAAGAGAATTTTGTTTTTTAAATTCAGGTGGACAAGATTCTATCCTTCCTCTTCTAAATGTAGAAAGAATTCTTTCTAGCCGAAAGGATGAAATTTTCACATATGGAAGAAGTTTTAAGGTTGCAAATCCTGCGGAAGAAGCAACTGAGAGCAAGCACACCATACTGAGAACTCACCGTGAACAGGCGCCGCCTCATCCCTCTTAGCACCCTGAAAGCATGACACAAGTCAGGCAGACCCCACCACCACCACCACTGTGCGCTGTGTGCCCACGATGCAGCCTAAAGAGCTTGACCAGGTGGACGCTCCCAGTCTTAAGTCCCTCAGGGACACCAGAGGCCCTCCCACCCGACGCTGTATTCCACCAGAGTGCCTGTTGTTTTCCATAATAATGGCAACAGCACAACCCTGGAAAAGGCTGAGCCAGCACTAGCTGTGATGGTCTCCATCCAGCAGACCACATTCACAAAACCAAGAGGGCGCTTTCTTGCTGCAGTCAGTGTCTCTTACTTATAGGACTTGCTAACTGCCCTCTGGGTAGAATTTCTGCCCCTGCTGCAGTGTATTTGCACAGCTCAGATTCTATGCTGATTTACTTAGTCATGTTTTAGCCGGCTTCCTTTCTCAGTTGCATGTGACTGCTGTAGTTCCAGGCAGAGTGAGAGCCTAGCGGGCAGATGCTGTAGTTTCCAGGATCTTGGGCCAGGTTGCAGTCAACTGTCCAGATACACAGGTCCTTAGAGGAGATGAGAGGGTTTCTTGGGGAGACGCAGAAGGGCCTGGAGGTGTGCCATGCCTCCCTGTGGCCTGGCTTCAAGATTGGTAGAAGGGTGAGGAGGGCTGAGGTGATGTTCCAGTGACATTTTGAGTCATGAACGTGGAGCTCCAAATTCTATGATCCAACATGGAAGCAGTTTCTTCGAATTTTATTTTAAAGAACAAAGAAATTAATAAATCTAGGTATATTCGTGGGTACATCAGAGAGTCAAATTCAGCAAGAAGGGGGATTTTCTATAGGACTAAGATGCTATCTGATGACATTCTTAGCTTCTGGATTGGTGCAAGCTTGTGGTCTGCTAAATTAATAGTTTCCAAAAAGGCTTTTATCTATTAGTCACAAGAACTTAGCCCAAGATAAAGTAATGAACCCTTGGAACATGACAGTCCAATCTCCATAGCATTATAGTTCTATCCAGTCAGCCAGTCTCTGACACAGCTTCTTCCCAGGAATTCTCCTTCACACCTGCAAGTGCTAAGATTACAGTCATGCACTGGTGTATGCAGTGTTGGGGACCGAACCCAGGCCTGTGTACATGCTAGGCAAGTGCTCCTACCATTTTTTAAAATATGAGATTCTCTCTCTCTCTCTCTCTCTCTCTCTCTCTCTCTGTGTGTGTGTGTGTGTGTGTGTGTGTGTGTGTGTGTGTGATATCCCCTGGAGCTGGAGTTACAGGAGGTTGTGAACCACTGCATGGGTGCTGAAATCCAAACTCAGGTCCTCTAAAGGAGCAGTATACATTTTTAACTGTTGAGCCATCTCCCCAGGCCTCTACCCTTTGATTTCTTGTAAGTTTCTCTGTCTCTCCTTTTCTTAAGACGAGCTGGAGAAATATTCAGTGGTTAAAGAACTTGCCATATAAGGGTGAGGGCCATAAAGTCAGTCCCCTAATCACGTATAAATTCAGCCAGGTATGCAGGCCCTCCTGTGTTGCTCAGAAAGGAGAGACAGGACCCACCCAACCAAGGTAGCTAGCCACACTAACTGTATCTGCTAGTTCTTGGTTCACTTCAGAGACCCTCAATCAGAGAAAGAAATTAAAAAAAAAAAAACACCTAGGCTTTTGATTTCAGATTGATGTGGAGGGGCCATTTCTGTAGGGAAGCAATGGTCAAATTCAATGTGGTTCAACCTAATTCAAAATGTTCCTGTGGCCAGCAGGGGGTATTCCCTGGGTTTTGATAAGGTCCAGATTAGATGACCATTATTCTAAAAGCACCCTACTTGTTCACACTAGTTTCTTTCACAAATGCTAGAGACCAGTAGGAAACCTTGGTTCTTTGAGCAAGACATGTGCCTGCCCTGTGCTGTGCTCTTGCTAATAGCTACACTGGAGTTACTTAGTCAAGACTCCTGTTAGCCAAGCACCAAGGTGCTATGGTCCAAATGGCCAACAACTTCATGTGCTGGGGTCTAAATCCCCACTGCAGCAGTGCTGGGAGTAGGGCCTCAGGGGAGGTGGTTGGATCATGAGGTTCTGTTCTCATAAACGGATCCTTGCCGCCACCAAACAGTCTAACAGTCTGCTTCATTTCCCCCTCTGTCACGTGAGGACACAGTGTTCTCACCCACCTCCCACCCCCAGGCTGAAATAGCCAAGGCACCATCTTGGTAACAGAAGACAGCCCTCCCACAAGGGGCCAGAGCCTTCGCTTGACTTCCCAGCCTAGACAGCAGTAATTGTTCACTAATTACCAAGAAACTGGCGCCACAGGAGTAGGGGTGTTGCTGTGACAAGCAAGTAAAAGTGAGAAGAAGTTTGGGAGCTGGGTCAGTGAGGACCTGCAACAGTTTTGATGTTGTGTTGTCAGGACTAGGGCTGTAGCCTCACCTCAGTCTTAGTGGTCGCTACACCAGAAGCGGGCAATATTTGTAATGTCACAATGTTTGAATTTATTGAATTAACTCAATTCACAAGTGACACTGGTTTTGTCGGCTGCCATTTGTAGAGCAGTCCTAGTTCTCCTTGAGAGCTGGGCATTGTTAAACCTGGGTTCTTCCATTCTAAGCTTAACTACTAATATTAACTCCCAGGTCAGACATCCTAACATCATGCAATAGTTAGACAGACACACTATTAAAGGACTAAAGAGGTCATAGGTGGCCATGAGAACCTCACTGGAAATTAGGGGAAAGGCCATCCTTGCTACAAAGTGGCAAAGAGTTTAGCATCACGTCTGTTCTAGACGTCAGAACTTAGGGCTGAGGGACTAGTATTCTCAGTAGATTTCTTCTGTCAAAGAAATCTCCAAGCCCCGCAGTGTCCCGGATGCTGCCTGGCTTCTCTGAGCTGCTTTTAGCAAAACAGCAGAAGAATTTATTCACAACAGAATGTATAAGAGGGAGAGCACTGAGCTTCAAGCCAGGCATCCTTAGTAAGAATTTCAATATGGCCAGAAGGAAGCCTTGTACTCTTCATGCAAACCAGGGAGGATGTTTGGGAGGGCTTTAGAGGTCTCCCACACTTCTGTGTTGTCCCTGGGAAGGAAGAATGGTTTTGAAAGGAGCTGGACGCCCATAGTTTCCTCCAGGCTCACCTCCAGCCTCTTATTCATCTACCAGCCAGGTGGTGGTGGCCCACGCCTTTAATCCCAGCACTCAGGAGGCAGAGGCAGGAAGGTCTCTGTGAGTTCAAGACCAGCCTGGTCTACAAGGGCTAGTTTCAGGACAGCCTCCAAAACCAAAAGGAAACCCTGTCTCGAAAAAACAAACAAAACAAACAAAAACAAAACAAAACCCAAAAAACCTTCCTCCCCAGTGGTGGCACTGTTGGGGGGTGGTAGAATTTTTTGGAGGTGCAGCTTGGTGGAAAGAAGTTAGGTCACTAGGGCCAGAGCTCTGGAAGCGATAATCGGGACTCAGGACAGACGGCCTCTGCTTCCTCAGTCTCTACATCCTGTTGACAAGGTGAACAGATCCCCCTCCACCTCTCCCACCCGGTGCAACAGACCCAACAAATGGGGCCGAGCCCCCACAGATGGAAACCTTTGAACTGTCACCTTTGGGTCCATAAATCTTTCTGCCTTTATGACGATTCTGTCAGATATTTTTTTCCCAGCAAAGGAATGCTGACAGCAGCGTTACTTTAAAAATTTCCAAGTATCTTATTTAAGAAAAGACAGCTGGATTCTCAGAGCTAGCTGCCTTTTCATGCAATCTGTTATAGTGTCACATGGTACGCTACATCTGGAAAGTTCCACAGTGCATTCGTGAGAGGGAAAAGTGCACACAGTATCTTAGTATTCTGAAAACAGTTTTAACTTTACAGATAACCTTGAAGGAGTCTGAAGTCCTAGATACGGGGCTTGGGAGATAGCTCTGTTTAGTGCTTGATCTGCAAGCACAAGACCTGAGTTCGTTTTCTGAACCCATGTCAAAAGGCTGGGCATGGTGGCATGTGCTTTTAATCCTAGTGCTGGGGAGACAGGGTTGGCGGATCCCTGGATTTCAATAGCTAGCTGGCTTAGCTTAGTCAGTGACTTCCAAGCCAGGAAGAGACTGTCTCAGACAAAAGGTAGGCAATGACAGAAGAATAACACCAGATATTGTCCTCTGAGCTTCACATGTACACACACACACACACACACACACACACACACACACACACACACCATACATAAGGTAAGGTAACTTTAAATATAATTATCTGGTGAAATAAGACTTAAACTATACATGTTTTTTTTTTTAAATCACTCCGTTTACATAAGAAAAAAATCAACCCCTTTGGCTAACAATGAGGAATGGTCTTGATCTTAAAGAGAAAAGGAAAGACTTTGGACAACCAGACAAAAAGACCATTATTTACAAGGAACACGAAGCCTGTTAGCCATCAATTTGCTGCAAGCCTCCTGGTGCTGAAAGTGAGCATCTTATTAGGTTTTTGTTTTGTTTTGTGCATGTGGGGGCCTCCTGTAATCCCAGCTCTTGGAGAGGTGGAGACAGGAGGTCCCCAGAGCAAACCGGCTAGTGTAGCTGGCCAAAACAGAAAGTTCTGGGTTCAGGAAGAGCCCCTGCCTCAATAAGTAAGGTGGAGTGATCCTATATAACCTCAAGCCCTTACAGACATGCAC